CTGGGGTGGAGTACAGCCGCCCGGGGCTGAATGGGTTGAGTGAGGGAGGTTAGGGGGGGGGTCAGGGAGGAGATGCGATGGGGGTGAGGCTAGGGGTCTGCCCCTGAGCTCTCGACATCGCTGGCCATCGCAGCTGACCGCCCCGTAACCCCAGCACCGTAACCTCAGCATCGTAACCCCAGCACCGACCCCAGCACCGTAACCCCAACACCGTAACCCCAGAGTCTGGCGTGTGGAGTCATCACTGTTGCTGCTGCACCATGAGATGGTGACGGTGGCCGCAGGCGTCAGGGATGGTGAGGTGTGGTGGCTGGTGGCGTTATGGTGACGCTTGTAGTCACGATTTGGCGGGGGGGGGGAGGGGCGTGTGGGCTGTGTGTGTGGGGGGGGGGGTTACGGTGAGAGGGAGATGGGGCAGGGGGAAGTTGAGGCTAAAAGGGTGAGGTTCGGGGGAGAGGGGGGCTGCAGATGGTGAGATAATGATGTTAGGTTGGGATGGGGTTGTGGGGGGAGGGAGAGGGTTAGAGTGAAGTGGTGAGGTTCGGAGGGGGTCTGCGGTCGGTGAGGTTGAGGGTGTGGGTGAAGGGGTGGATAGGGTGAAAGGGTGTAGGGGTGTGGGGTGTAGGGATGGAGAGGGTGTAGGGGTGTGGGAAGAAAAAGCGTAAAACTCGAGCGGTCGGCAGCTGCGCGGCGGCTCTGCTGCCCTGCCGCCGCTGTCTGCTCACCATAATATTGTGAAGTTTGTACCGTAGAGGAAATAGTGAAGTCTTTGTCTGCTCTTTGCTGGTTATAGTGAAGTCTTTGTCTGCTCTTTGCGGGTTATAGTGAAGTCTTTGTCTGTCCTTCACGGGTTACAATGAAGTCTTTGTCTGCCTTTCACCGGTTACAGTGAAGTCCTTGTCTGCTCTTCACAGGTTATAGTGAAGTCTTGGTCAGCTCTTCATAGGTTAAAGTGAAGTCTTTGTCTGCCCTTCATAGGTTATAGTGAAGTCTTTGTCTGCTCTTCACATGTTATAGTGAAGTCTTTGTCTGCTTTTCGTGAGTTATAGTGAAGTCTTTGTATGCCCTTCACAGGTTATAGTGAAGTCTTTGTCTGCCCTTCACAGGTTATAGTGAAGTCTTTGTCTGCCCTTCACAGGTTATAGTGAAGTCTTTGTCTGCCCTTCACATGTTATAGTGAAGTCTTTGTCTGCCCTTCATGAGTTATAGTGAAGTCTTTGTCTGCTCTTCATGAGTTATAGTGAAGTCTTTGTCTGCTCTTCATGAGTTATAGTGAAGTCTTTGTCTGCTCTTCATGAGTTATAGTGAAGTCTTTGTCTGCTCTTCATGAGTTATAGTGAAGTCTTTGTCTGCCCTTCACAGGTTATAGTGAAGTCTTTGTCTGCCCTTCACAGGTCATAGTGAAGTCTTTGTCTGCTCTTCATGAGTTAAAGTGAAGTCTGAAGTCCCTGTTGGATGGTGAGCGTAAGAGAAGTACAGCGTCTGCAGTTGTCATTACGCACACGATGTATTACGCATGCGTACAGTGCACGTGTACAGTGTAAGTTTGATTACACGTATCCTGCCCTGTTTTTCCCATTCTAAGGACCTACGCACGTAAGGACCTACGCACGTAAGGACCTACGCACGTAAGGACCTACGCACGTAAAAACACCAAAACAAAAGCGGGGAAGGGGGAGTGGTTCAGAGGGGTGGGGGTGTAAGGGGGAGAGAGCAGGGAAGAGGGTGGATGGTGAGAAAGTTGAAGGGTATGGAAGAAGGGATTGAAGAGGTGGTGGAGTGGTGGAAGAGCAACGAGATAACGATCATGGGTGAAGAGGCTAGGATGGAGTGGTCGGAGTGGAGGGGCCGGCGTTGAGGATGCCGAAGAAGTGGAGGGGCTGATGGGGGGTAGGGGTTGGAGTGGAGGGGGGAAAGCGGAGGGTGGGCGTAAATTCTCCTCGCGGTGTTCCAGGGATTGAGGGAGGAGAGTGAGGGGGAGGAGGCGGAGAAGGGATAGAGGGGAGGGAGAGAGGGGGCATGAGAGGATGCTGATGTGCCACATCTCTCGTCGTGACGTCACATGTGCCACATCTTCGGTCGTGACGTCACATGTTGACTCACAACAATGATGCTCTTGAGTCACGTACGCAGATGTTTATGAGTAGTCGTAAGTTTTTGAGGTGGTCGTAAGTTTTTGAGGTGGTCGTAAGTTTTTGAGGTGGTCGTAAGTTTTTGTGGTGGTCGTAAGTTTTTGAGGTGGTCGTAAGTTTTTGAGGTGGTCGTAAGGTCATAAATTGATCGTACGGACAGGAAGTGACTATAAGGTTGTATGTACGCAAAATTCAACAACAACAACAGCGGCAGGACAGCGCCTGCCTCGACCGTGTCCATCCGATATATTCTATGCCGTGTGTTGTATATATACAACACATGTTGTATGAATGCACCATGTATGAATACCAGAAGATACCTCAGTCTTGTCAATATAATCCATTAAATCATTTATTGTTCAGAGTCATTATGAAGATTGCATTTAGTCGCGTATGTAACAACATAGCAATAGCAATATACCAATATAACAATATGCCAACATACCAATATAACAGTATACAAATATACCTATTTAACTATATACCAATATCGCAATACAGCTATACCTACACCAAGTAACACAATCTTTCCATATTTGTATATACGGTACGGTTAAATTTCACTCCAAGAAACTGAAAAGACCAAAAGAATACAGCCAGATAAATGAATGTGTAATATCGCCCATATAGTGACACACTTCCATACCCACGGCACGCGCGCACACACAACACCCATGTCTACACACGCACACACAACATACACGTACACGCGTCCCAAACACGCACACGTCAGGCACGAATGGCGTATGGGAGAACGCACACTCAGAGTGCGGCGTGGTGTAAAGCTTCCATTCAGGTACCGCGATGAGACAAATGTGTAGGTTAGTTCTACCACGAGTTGTGTGTTGTGTTTGTGCTGTGTGTGTGTGATGTGTTTGTGTGTGATGTGTGCTGTATGTGATGTGTGCTGTGTGTGTGTTCTGTGTCGTTGACTTTCTAGTTGCCGACGCTTGCGCTGAATTTGGGAGAAACTAGCACACGACTGGTGACTAGCATACGACTGGTGACTAGTACATGACTGGTGACTAGTGACTGGTGACTAGCACATGACTGGTGACTAGCACATGACTGGTGACTAGCACAAGACTGGTGACTAGCACAAGACTGGTGACTAGTACATGACTTGTGACTAGCACAAGACTGGTAACTAGCACAAGACTGGTGACTAGCACATGACTGGTCACTAGCACCCGACTGGTGACTAGCACATGACTGGCGACTAGCACACGACTGGTGACTAGCACAAGACTGGTGACTAGCACACGACTGGTGACTAGCACATGACTGGTGACTAGGACATGACTGGTGACTAGCACATGACTGCATGGTGATCGAGGAGACGATGTGGTCGCCGTATCGAGGAGACGATGTGGTCGTCGTAGCGAGGAGACGATGTGGTCGTCGTATCGAGGAGACGATGTGGTCGTCGTATCGAGGAGACGATGTGGTCGGAGCAGCCAGACGCTGCAGCGACTAACGGCACAGTCGACAACATGGACGTTCCAGTAAGAAAAAAAAAATGCATACAATTACTCGATAACTCTGTGTGGTTGAAGAACACGAGAACGTGAGGGATATCGACGATAAATTAGGATGAATAATTTGATTATATATGAAGGCAGTTGATTTGCTTCAACGCTTTGTGCCTATTTCTTTGTCTTCTCTTCTGCGCCACAGCTATCACGTCATTTCCTCCTGTTGTCAAGTCGAGGCCAAGCAGAATATTGATAAAGTACGAGAATCAGATAGTAAACGGGCTAAAATTTCCCAAAATATTTGCAGGTTGTTCCTAAAGATGAATCAGTATTAGTTGTTGAGCGAGTGAATTCGTAGAAGTTAGTAATTTTGATGAAATATGGATGTGTCTTTGTTCACAAGATGGCTGCCTGGCTCCTGATTGGTCCATGGCGGTTGTGAAAGCTGAGAGAGAAGGCTGAGTGCACGCAGCGCTTCAGTTGGCGAGTAGACGTTGTTGAGAGGAGATGGAGCGCTCGTAGCACGAACAATAAATTCCCTTCTGTCCTCCACACAAAGACTATGGTTACTTTACTTTTTGACAATAGATAGAACAACAATTCCTGAAGTGAGTGCTGATTAAGCTGCATGAAACCAAAGAATAACGGCATCTTCCTGTTTATTTTTTTGTGCATTGCTAGTCCGTCTTTCATTTGAAGCCGTCCCCGTGATTTCCGTGCTCGCCTCCGCCATTGTGACTCCAGTGATAACGACCAAGATTAAAAGATAAATCATCAAGTTTCCAATAGAAAACCTAAGCCCATTATGAAAACTGAAATAGAATCTGCAACCACATTCCTGGTTGAATTAATGAAAACTGGGTCTACGTCTTGTGCGAAGCTCAGCGACGAACAGTTCCACAGGTTTCGGATGATCGTCGAAGAATGCTTAACTAATTACTACGCTGATCATTGGTTCCCGGACCATCCTGTGAAGGGTTCCGGCTATCGCTGCATCAGAATGAACGGAAAAGTCGACCCGATTTTGGCAAGAGCTGGACACCTCATGGGTCTCGCTGCTCAGTTGATACATTCGATGTTTCCTGCCGAATTTACGATGTGGGTTGACCCACACGAAGTGAGTTACAGGATCGGAGAAAACGGTTCCATTTGCATCCTGTACGAGAACGAGAGCATGGTAATGCGTTCACCACCAACTCCACCGAGTACTCCGCCGAACAAGAAGATTAGAGGCTCCCCAGAACCACCTTTCACTCCCATGAAGATGCAGTCTATCTTCCCTCAGCAGCAAGTGACTCCTCCTCAAGCTCTCTCCTATCACCACTTCTCCACTCCGTCCAACAACAGACGTGCTTCTCCACCTCACCATCAATACCAGCAGTTTCTTCACGCGCACCAGCTCGCTCTTCTCAAGGAGGCTAACAATAATTCTTCGAATAATTGTAAAGACGCACTGAGGCCGAATCATGTCCTGCCTCTCGAGAGGCTTTTCGTGTCCAGTTGAAACGCCTCACGGTCAGCCTCCACCAGCCGCCGATCTCACCTGGAGCCTGCTGTGTACAGTACAATCTCTGCCGCAATTCTATGTGTAAATACTATACTTTATTATATTATAGAAATGTATAAGGATAGCGCGGCAGTGGTGTGTAATTCTGTGATGTTTTTGGCTGGGTGAGAGCATGAAGCCTTCTTGCTACGGCCCCGTCAACGCTGGTGCAATCCGTGCTCAGCCAACTGAGCAATCTTGCAGGGATTGTTTCATCCGACAATCAAGAATAAAATCTCTGCATGCGCTCAGTTCTGCGCTAGGATTGTGCCAAGCTAGGGGGGAGGGGCGGTGCCCCACTCTAGAATCCTTCATATGGTACAAAGTCTGCATCATTTATCTAAGTGTATGTTGAAGAAGTGTAGTGCTGCCACGGTGTCGTGGTGTCGTGTCGTGTCGTGGAGGAACATCCAGTCTGGAAATTGTGAAAAAATATAAGATTTAGCTATTACCACCGACAGCTCATTAAATTTTATCAGCTTTTGTCAACGTCGTGTCTGAAATTTAATTTATGTATCTGAAAATGAGAGAGGCATTGATTAATTAGGTTCGTAAGAAGTGTTTGATAATTACTGAGATTTGCAAGAAACACATTTCGTGGTTTTAAAAGTGTTTTTAAGACTGGATGCGCTCCGACCACCGATACATTCTCTCCGTGGACGATGTATCGCTCTCCGTGGACGATGTATCGCCCTACGTGGACGATGTGTCGCTCTTCGTGGACGATGTATCGCTCTTCGTGGACGATGTATCGCTCTTCGTGGACGATGTATCGCTCTTCGTGGACGATGTATCGCTCTTCGTGGACGATGTATCGCTCTCCGTGGACGATGTATCGCTCTTCGTGGACGATGTATCGCACTTCGTGGACATGCACCGTTGTCAGCACCACTTGTCCTCCTGCGCTTGTGAGAAGATATGTCAGACAAGATATTCTCCCTCTCCATCGCTTTATCTTATCTTTAGTTGGTTACGTTAGAGAACATTCATTGTCATTATGATATTATTTGGCGTAACTTACTTTTAGGCTTACATAAAAAAAATATTCATTGGAGTCTGCTTCTTCCCCGACGCCATTCATGACATTCATTTCATCATCATTCATTATCGTGTCCTTTCATATTTACAATATTGAAATATTGTCGTAGAAAATGTATGCTATCGTTGACCAAGTAAAATGGCTTTTAGATTTATTTTGTCTTCGCTCATGTTACATTTTCTGCTATTATTTTATATTTTTCCATTTATGTTATTTTTTCGAGTCATGAAACTAGCCTGATATTTTTTGTACATTTTTTTTGTCTATTTGCTTAACCGATGTACTGTTGTTAGCTTATGTCCAAATTGTGAGGTGTACTGTAGATACATTTACAGTATATGTACTGTAAATGGTTTCGGTGGTATAGAGTATATGGTTGCGTGTAGGAATGGTTCCTGTCATAGTCAAGACGATGTGCAATGGTTGTTAACTACCGTGACTTTTAAAGTGGGTTTTTGGGAACGTATGAATGCGATACATTTTAATTGTCGGTTGACAGATCTGGTAGCATTGCTAGATTTTACAAAGTGAAACAATAACCTGATTGTAATCCTTGCGAATAATGTGTCTTGGCCAATAATATGTTGTTACAATTATATAATTTCAATTTCTATGAAGCGATATCCTGACCATTAAATAATACAGTTTTATTCGACTTCCTGATAACTGTTACCCCGCGGCACCTCCGAACGCTTGCCACTTCCTCATCTTCACCACGACGGCACACAAAAAATCTAAAAAACGAATAACTTAAATAAAAACCAACTAAAAAAATCGCAAACGACTCGTGGTGCTCGAATGCACCACTAGTTACCGATCGTGCTGTCGTGGAGGGAAGGGGTGGTGCACGGCAGTCGTGATGTGCCGTGGTTCGTAAGATTCGTAACGGTGTTAGCTTCGTGTATACGGAACGGATTAAAACTTAGTTTCGTTTGTGCGAAACGGAATAATGCTGTTCGTTTCGTCCTTACGAAATGGATTAATGCTGGTTGTTTCGATAACACGGAACTGATTAACGCTGTTTCGTGTACACGGAACTGATTAACGCTGTTTCGTGTACACGGAACTGATTAACGCTGTTTCGTGTACACGGAACTGATTAACGCACTTCGTGTTGCATAACGCTGTACGCAACAGTATATCTGCCGTCAAGTTGTACCAACATTTTTGATGTAAGTTCGTTCTGTGATTTTACTCGCATCTACCTTGTGATTTTAACATACATGTAAAATGTGTTATTTGTGTTGTAAATTCTGAACTTTAATATCAATTCGAGTGAGAACTACCTCGTACAAAGTGCTTCGTGTAAATTTTTGTATGGTTCCATGCAGTCAAGCGACTTCTGCCATAATTTTCTGATAGTCCATTTTATATTACGACAGAGTTTGCCCTCAATTTATTCTTGGTCGAGACACTATTTCTGGTCCGTCGATTAGCTACGTTAATCTGTAAATTCTGTACGTACGGTGTTGTAAAAATTGAATACATTATATTTAATTTAAGATATGACACTGTGAACTAGCGATCCAGGGTTAGCGAGACGCTCCGCTACGTGATATAGTTATTAGTGCGCAGCCTGCGTGCACGTTCGTGAACCTGCGTGTGCGTTCGTGAACCTGCGTGTGCGTTCGTGAACCTGCGTGTGCGTTTGTGAGCCTGCGTGTGCGTTTGTGAGCCTGCGTGTGCGTTTGTGAGCCTGCGTGTGCGTTCGTGAACCTGCGTGTGCGTTCGTGAGCCTGCGTGTGCGTTCTTTTATCTGCGTGTACCTTCGTGAGCCTGCGTGTAGGTGCGTGTACTTTCGTGAGCCTGCGTGTGCGTGCGTAAGCCTGCGTGTACGTTCGTGAACCTACGTGTACGTTCAGGAGAACCGCCATGCACGTACAGAGGAGGCCCCTGGAAGGTTTCCAATTCCGACTTGTTTGAATGTGTGTGTATGAATCAAAGTTAGTTTCGCAACCGAGGCACTTTTGCTTATGACCATTTAGAGCGACCATTTCACGACTTAACCATTAAAAGCATTCGTCGTCACTCACTTCATGATCTTAGTTCACGTTTGGAGTCCATTTTTTAACGTCTATCCTAGTCAACTGAGTTCATCATTCATCAATTTATTGTCAGTCATGTTCCCCGCCATTGATCAACAGCTCTTTTGACTTGCAATAATTAGCAATGGAGGGTAGAAATGTGGAGGAAACATACATATGTGTATTCATGCCAATGTACATATGTATCTGCATACATATGTATATTCACACAATAATATACATATGTATTAGAGCCGTGTTTGGCAGCCTCTTCAACTTGCGTATCATAAGAAGGTTTCTGAGGTTGGTGGAAGTGTTTTATGTTGAGCTTCTTTGAACCAGCTTTTCAGTTATTATATTGATATTTTTTCCTGCTATTTTACAAGAAAAATTCACTTTTGAGAACACCTTGATTTCCTCACTACAGGCTATTGATATTTCGAACCACATTTTCCATTTTATCGACTATGGCCATGATTTAGCTGCCGCCTTGTCCCACTAACACTGGCACCTAGAGTATCATGTCTCTCTACGACGCTAAGGCTTGGATAGTTTTCGGTTTTTAATTTGTTTTCGAGTAAAACATGGAGGTAATTTTAAGTGGGGGTAGATCCGTGTAAATATTTATGAAGGAACTTTATTAAATGATGTTTGATTGTGAACCGAAGCCTATATCGTGACTGAGTGTTACATTCTGTCCAGTACCTGACTCTAAGTTGCTCGTGTGAATGGAATTTCTTGAATGTGTGCGTGAATGTGCGAATGTTGGCATTTCCCGAGGATTGCAATGTAGGATGTTTTCCATCACGAGCGGTCCATTCCCCATCATCCCCCATGTCCTGGGGCCGAGCAAGGTCCCCTAGGGGGCAGTGATCCCCAGACCTTTTGATGGGCCTCTTCCCTCTGGGGGGACGCGTGGGGATCTCCAGCACCCGAATGACGTTGTAACGACGTTTAGTTAACATTAATTTAAAGAAACGATGTTTAATTGATGTTGATTTGAATCAAACGACGTTTAACTAATGTTGATTTAAAGAAAACCGCGTTTGACTAACGTTGATTTAAAGAAAACCACGTTTAATTAATGCTGATTTAATGAAACGTTCATTTTCAACGTCAGATGTCTGGTGAGACTCCATGTCGTCAGGTTTAAGACTCGTTGACGAAATTTTTCGTTTTCCATATCAGGAACATATGTACTCTTCTAGTAAACCTAAAACCGTGTGAATTCATCATACAAATCTTTGTATACAAACACGAGTCTGTATTAACACTTGTATTTCGAGTCCGCCCCACTGCCATCTGTGTAATTTCGTGCACGCCTGAATCGAGTAACATTTTTGTATATCGAAACATTTCTAGAATCCACCCCTAGCTTACTGCAGGCATTGATGTTTTTAAGAACGCTATTATTTTCCTGTGTTTCATGACGTGTTATACCTGCTACTGTAGATAGTTAATACGCCTACCTTTGATCTCGGTAAGTTTTAATAAGAAAACGAAACGATTGTTGGTTAACTTTTACATGAATTTCTGTAGCCTACGCTACAGATTCGGTCATAAATGCCATTGTAAGCAATTTGTTATGCGACGCTGAGTATTTAAACTCTGTATGAAAAGTTATCGCTAATATAATTGTTTTTAGTAATCATTAATATGCTATGTCTTGATCACCGACTTGCGTTACCGACTGAAGACGACGCGAGAAGGTAGCGTTCCCGGCGCCCCCTTCATCTTTTCTATTCGCATACCTGATCTCTTGGCTTTAAACTTCAAGGAAGACTCAAGCTGCTAATTTGTAGTTTTAACCCACAATTCTACACTCGAATTTGTTCCTTGACATTTCGTGTTTTGAGATGCGCCATCTTTTTCTGTCTCCTAATAAGTGATGGCGTGGCATAATCTTAAGTAGGAATTTCTTAATTGATTTTATCATGTACTGGTAGGGATTATTCTGGTCATGTATTTTGTGTACGGTCCTCAATTGTTTTGTTAGGTAATTTTAATGCTTTTATTGTGATTTGCTGCTGATGTTTAGAGGCTGACACGTTATGTTTCTTACGGAGGATGATAATGTATGTATTTAATGAACACATTGCTGCGTTTTAGCATCTGACTCGACCATTTCAAGTGGTGTGGCTTTAGCCAACAAGTTTAAATAAGTTGAACATTTCTGACGATTTAAACATTCCATCCAAAGGACCTTATAGTAATGCGACTGTTTGATGACTTAGTCGTATGTCTGCTCGAATTAACAGCCATCAATCATTATCATTTTCGATCGCTTTACCTCATAATCGTCGAACTGTAACCCCCTGCTTGAAAATAACGCTCGCTTCTTCTCCATAACGCCACTGCGTTATGGCCAGCTATTGCTGTAACACTCGGTCGGCACCACAAATGAAACA